GATTTCCATTTGCATGGAATATCTTTTTCCATCCCCTCACTTTCAGTCTCTATGTATCCCTAGGTCTGAAGTGGGTCTCTTGTAGACAGCATATATATGGGTCTTATTTTTGTATCCATTCAGCCAGTCTATGTCTTTTGGTTGGAGCATTTAATCCATTTACATTTAAGGTAAATATTGATATGTATGTTCCTATTACCATTTTGTTAATTGTTTTGGGTTTGTTATTGTAGGTCTTTTCCTTTTCTTGTTTTTCCTGCCTAGAGAAGTTCCTTTAGCATTTGTTGTAAAGCTGGTTTGGTGGTGCTGAATTCTCTTAGCTTTTGCTTATCTGTAAAGGTTTTAATTTCTCCATCGAATCTGAATGAGATCCTTGCTGGGTAGAGTAATCTTGGTTGTAGGTTTTTCCTTTTCATCATTCTAAATATGTCCTGCCACTCCCTTCTGGCTTGCAGAGTTTCACTGAAAGATCAGCTGTTAACCTTATGGGGATTCTCTTATATGTTATTTGTTGTTTTTTCCTTGCTGCTTTTAATAATTTTTCTTGGTATTTAATTTTTGATAGTTCGATTAATATGTGTCTTGGCATGTTTCCCCTTGGATTTATCCTGTATGGGACTCTCTGTGCTTCCTGGACTTGACTATCTATTTCCTTTCCCATTCTAGGGAAGTTTTCAACTATAATCTCTTCAAATATTTTCTCAGTCCCTTTCTTTTTCTTTTCTTCTTCTGGGACCCCTATAATTCGAATGTTGGTGCAGTTAATGTTGTCCCAGAGGTCTTTGAGACTGTCCTCAATTCTTTTCATTCTTTTTTCTTTATTCTGCTCTTCAGTAGTTATTTCTACTATTTTATCTTCCAGGTCACTTATCCACTCTTCTGCCTCAGTTATTCTGCTATTGATTTCTTCTAGAGAATTTTTAATTTCAGTTATTGTGTTGTTCATCATTGTTTATTTGCTCTTTAGTTCTTCTAGGTCCTTGTTAAACGTTTCTTGTATTTTCTCCATTCTATTTCCAAGATTTTGGATCATCTTTACTATAATTAGTCTGAATTCTTTTTCAGGTAGACTGCCTATTTCCTCTTCATTTGTTTGGTCTGGTGGGTTTTTACCTTGCTCCTTCATCTGCTGTGTGTTTTTCTGTCTTCTCATTTTGCTTAACTTTTGGGGTCTCCTTTTCTCAGTCTGCAGGTTTGTAGTTCCTGTTGTTTTTGGTGTCTGCCCCCAGTGGCTAAGGTTGGTTCAGTGGGTTGTGTAGGCTTCCTGGCGGAGGAGACTAGTGCCTGTGTTCTGGTGGATGAGGCTGGATCTTGTCTCTCTGGTGGGCAGGTCCACATCCGGTGGTGTGTTTTGGGGTGTCTGTGGCCTTATTATGATTTTAGGCAGCCTCTCTGTTAATGGGTGGTGTTGTGTTCCTGTCTTGCTAGTTGTTTGGCATAGGGTGTCCAGCACTGTAGGTTGCTGGTCATGGAGTGGAGCTGGGTCTTGGTGTTGAGATGGAGATCTCTGGGTGATATTCACTGTTTGATATTAGTTGGAGCTGGGAGGTCTCTGGTGGACCAATGTCTTGAATTTGGCTCTCCCACCTCAGAGGCACAGGCCTAACACCCAGCCGGAGAACCAAGACCCTGTCATCCACACGGCTCAGAATAAAAGGGAGAAAGTAAGAAAGAAGGAAAAAAAGAAAGGAAGGAAGGAAGAAAGGGAGGAAGGAAGGAAGAAAGAAAGAGAAAACAAATCCAGCAATGATAACAAGTGCTAAAAACTATACTAAAAAAGAAAAAAAAAAAAGGACAGACAGAACCCTAGGACAAATGGTAAAAGCAAAGCTATACAGACAAAATCACACACAGAAGCATACACATACACACTCACAGAAAGAGGAAAAGGAAAAAAAAATTATATATATCGTTGCTTCCAAAGCCTACTGCCTCAATTTGGGATGATTTGTTGTCTATTCAGGTATTCCACAGATGCAGGGTACATCAAGTTGACTGTGGAGATTTAATCCGCTGCTCCTGAGGCTGCTGGGATAGATTTCCCTTTCTCTTCTTTGTTCTCACAGCTCACGGGGGCTCAGCTTTGGATTTGGTCCCGCCTCTGCGTGTAGGTCGCCTGAGGGCTTCTGTTCCCGTCCGGACAGGATGGGGTTAAAGGAGCCGCTGATTCGGGAGCTCTGGCCGCGGGGAGGGAGGGGTACGGAATGCGGGGCGAGCGTGCAGCGGCAGAGGCCGGCGTGACATTTCAACAGCTTGAGGCGCGCCCTGTGTTTTCCCGGGGAAGTTGTCCCTGGATCACAGGACCCTGGCAGTGCCGGACTCCACAGGATCCCAGAAGGGAGATGTGGAGAGTGACCTGTGCTCGCACACAGGCTTCTTGGTGGCTGCAGCAGCAGCTTTAGAGTTTCATGCCCGTCTCTGGTGTCCACACTGATAGCCGCGGCTCGTGCCCGTCTCTGGAGCTCGTTTAGGCGGTTCAGTCCCCTCTCCTCGCGCACTCTGAAACAATGGTCTCATGCCTCTTAGGCAGGTCCAGACTTTTTCCCAGACTCCCTCCCGGCTAGCCGTGGTGCACTAGCCCCATTCAGGCTGTGTTCACGCTGCCAACCCCAGTCCTCTCCCTGGGATCCGACCTCCGAAGCCCGAGCCTCAGCTCTCAGCTCCCGCCCGCCGCGGCGGGTGGGCAGAGAAGCCTCTCAGGCTGGTGAGTGCCGGTCGGCACCGATCCTCTGTGCGGGAATCTCCCCGCTTTGCCCTCTGCACCGCCGTTGTTGTGCTCTTCTCCGCGGCTCCGAAGCTTCCCCCCTCCGCCACCCGCAGTCTCCGCCCGCGAAGGGGCTTCCTAGTGTGTGGAAACTTCATCCTTCATGGCTCCCTCCCACTGGTGCAGGTCTCATCCCTAGTCTTTTGTCTCTGTTTTTTCTTTTGCCCCTGTTTTTTCTTTTGCCCTACCCAGGTACGTGGGGAGTTTCTTGCCTGTTGGGAGGTCTGAGGTCTTTTGCCAGCGTTCAGTAGGTGTTCTGTAGGAGTTGTTCCACATGTAGATGTATTTCTGATGTATTTGTGGGGAGGAAGGTGATCTCCGCGTCTTACTCTTCCGCCATCTTGAAGGTCTCCTCCTTTTAGCCATTATTGTGGTTTATCTCTACATTTACTTGGATCATCTTTAATGTCTTTCAATGAAGTATAATTTTCTCCATAAATCATGCACATTTCTTGTATTTTTCCTAGGTAACTATTTTTATTACAATTAGAGATGTTAAGTTTCTAATATATTTTCTACTGTTTATTTTGGGCATAAAGGAGGGTGCTTGATTTTTCTATGTTGCTCCTATATCCAGCAACCTTGATAAAGAGTGTGTTTAAAAAAATTTTTAAAAATTAAAAAAAATTTTTAAAAAAGTGTTTTTAACTCAAAAGGAAAAAAAAAACCCACTTTATTGGGAGAAAAATTGGGCTTTACAGCATAACAATTCACAGATATGTCATACAGGAAGCCAAACATACTTTGTTCCTCTAGCATTTCTTAGTATGCACAGCTTTCCGATTTTATACTTGAAAAACAGTGATGTTGTATATCTATAATAGTTGGAAGCTAGTCATACGTAGCATATCAAACCCGTCTCTGGTTGTAAACATTTCAAGGAGTACTTTACCACCACATTGGAAAGCTCAGAAAACAACCCACATACAAGTAGGTAAACTTCAGGCAGATGACCTTGTTACCAGTTCTGTTTAACTGTGGACCATACATCAACTTGACCTCAACAGGCAATGAAGTGTGAGGGGCAGTGGAAGCACGTGGATTAAAACAAACAAACAAAAAACCTGGCTATCAGCCTTCTCACTTGGGCAAATCAACCTCTCTTTACCTCAGTCTTCTCATTTGAAAATTCAGGATCATAATAAAATGTCGCTCACAGGACTGAAAAGATGAGATACTATATCTACATCATTTAGTGCCACCCTGCACAACCCAGATACTGTACTATGCTGTTTCTCCATGTACTTTATACGATTCCACCATGCAGTCAAGGAGAGTATGGCAGCCGTCCTGTCCAGCCTTGGTCTTGGCCAGCTGGCATTTGGAGCCCATCATGCTGTCCCTGTCCGATTTGATTGTGTCCTACAACATATGTTTCTCCCTTGAGGACTCTGCAATTTAGATTGTTCTGGTGATAGTTTGGGCCCATAATAGCTGCAGGGAAGACTTACTGTGAAGCTAATGAGGCACAAACTTCAGACTCACTTCCCTCACTTGCACGGGCTCTTGAGAAAGACCTTAGCAATTGGTTTATTTGGTTATAAATCTTGGTAAATTTTGTAAAAAAAATTTGCAAAAGTAAGATCTATTCACTGCAATCAGTTAAGACCACTACCTCTTTCCACTCTGTTTTCCTTCTGTAAGATTTCCCCTCTGTCAGATGACATCAAAGTGGTTACAGACATTTTGTTCTTTCATGATTTTGTGTATATATATATATATATATATACACACACACACAAAAGAGGGCTTAAACCTGTATAACTTCAGATCCCATAAAAGCTGAATCTGTCCTCCTCCCCCCACCCCCTGAATCTCTGTTAATAGCTATGTTGTTAGGTATAAGTTCATATTAAAAATATACTCTCCGAACATATTCAATTGAACAGTCAGTTCTGAGGGGCTGACCTGTCCCCTTTTGATCGCTCCTATCAAATACTTACCACATACTCAATACAAAGGGTTCATTCTGTAAAATGGCATTATGCGAAGGGGGTACATAAATTCTTGTGGTGGTGAAGAGGAATATTTTCTTATTTAAGATTGTGAATTCTATGGAAACCAGTCTGTGGTATCTCCCCCCAACAGAGTGTCTGGGAGTTGTGGGTGTTCATGTCTTATCTGAATTTGCCAAGGGTCAGTAATGGCTGCTCATTTTATCTCTGAAGCCCACACTGTACCAGTATATACTGACAGCTTCTTGTTCCCTAAGTAACTTCATCTTCTTCATTCATTCCCTGCCTCTCCCTGTGCCCACCTACCCCATCAGGGACCAAACGTTAGAGATTTTCTTGGATGTACAGGTAAGTCTTTTTTTTTTTAATATTTATTTATTTATTAGGCTGTGTAGGGTCTTAGTTGTGGCATGTGGGATCTATGGTTGAGGTGTGCGGGCTCCAGAGCATGCAGGCTCAGTAGTTGTGGTGCGTGAGCTTAGTTGCCCCGTGGCATGTGGGATCTTAGTTCCCTGACCAGGGATCAAACCTGCGTCCCCTGCATTGGAAGGTGGATTCTTAACCACTGGACCACCAGGGAAGTCCCTGTACAGGTAAGTCTTAAAAGTCCTATTTTATAAGGAAGAAAGTGTTCAATTATAGACTCTGCTCTACTTTTGTGTCCCAAGTCGGAGTTAAGCCAATGTATCACAGACTCGAATCTCCCTGAACTCACCCCTCCCATGCTTCCCTGCCCCAACCTGCAGCCATACACTGCTGAATCCCTGGTCCCATGAGCCTTGCTTCCTCAATAACCTCTGAAGAGGCTATTCAAGTTCCATTGGCTTGAGGCCCTTGATGTACTGGCAAACTAACACACCAGCAAGGCTAACATGTCTCGAGCCATTGACGCCCACGGAGAGCAGAGCAGGAGGGGCTGGTGGGCAGGGAGGACCCCAACACACTGCACAGGTGAGGCTCTGGGGACCTCCAGAGCCCAAAGTAAAAAGTTCCTGAAAAATTGTTGGAGAGGAGTGTGAAGCTGAGCTCGCCTGCAGTCTCAGGGAGATCACATCAACTCCTGTACTTCAGCACCTTGGCAACCACAAGTCTGTTCTCTATGTCTGTGAGTCTATTTCTGTTTCTTAGATAAGTTCATTTGTGTCACATTTTAGGTTCCACATATAAGTGGTATCATATGGTATTTGTCTTTCTCTTTCTGACTTACTTCGCTTAGTATGATAATCTCTAGGACCATCCATGTTGCTGCAAATGGTGCTATTTCATTCTTTTTTATGGCTGAGTAATATTTCATTGTGTATATATACCACATCTTTATCCATTCATCTGTCGATGGGCATTTAGGTTGCTTCCATGACCTGGCTATTGTAAATAGTGCTGCTATGAACATGGGGGTGCATGCATCTTTTCAAATTATAGTTTTGTCTGGGTATATGCCCAGGAGTGGGATTGCTGAATCATATGGTAATTCTATTTTTAGTTTTCTGAGGAACCTCCATACCGTTCTCCGTAGTGGCTGTACCAGTTTACATTCCCACCAACAGTGTAAAAGCGTTCTTCTTTTTCCACACCCTCTCCAGCATTTGTTATTTGTAGAAGGAATTTTACACATCTTCATTCAGCAGGTGCTCACAAAATTAGTTCATTTCCAATTTTCAAATGGGGAAACTGAAACTCAGAAGCAAGGTGACTTGTTCAAAGTAAAACAGACAGGTCTCCTGACACCAAAGTACGTGCTTTAGTTAAGACTTTGAGCCTTGGAATCTAACACTCAGATGAAGCTTTGCCACTGAAGAGACTTTGGGCCTGTCCTTAGTCTTCTGGAGCCTCAATTTGCTCATCTGTAGAGTGGGAATAATAATAACAGTACCTACCTCATAGGGTGATTGTGTTACATGGTATCATGAATGTGTCTGGCACAGGGTTCATGTTAAATACATATTAGTTACAATATTATTATCATTATTCTGATACTTCAAACTGCTTCCCTATAAACAGACTCACTGACTGTAAAGTGTCTACCACACAGTGGACACTTGGCAAATATTTGAATATGTGGGCTAAAGAATCATTTGATTCTTATCCTAGATTAATTCCTGAATCATTTTTTCCAGCTGAAATCAGGTCATCATCTTAGTGATCAACAACATTATTCTGCCCTCACCCAACCCCACTCCCACCCCCATCAGCTGACTCAGCAGAGCCAGGCACCAGGAGAGGGCCGCTAACTCGGGGCAGCCAAATGAGGAAAATGCGTCTGCTTCTGGATGGAACATGCTGGAAGTTGGACAGGTTCACCCCTTATTTACCACGCTTACAAATCAGTTGGAGAAATCCCAGATTTGTGGCAAGACAGAGGGTTTGTAAACCAGGAAGAGAAGCGAGGGCTGCCAAGCACGGACCGGCTTCCAGGGGATCAGCAGAGCTGCAGCTCCACGGACGAGATGAGGTCAGTCGCTCCTTTCTCCAGGGTAATAAGTGACAGAGACAGAGGCGTGTGGGCCAATGGAGATTAAGATTAGAGGGAATGTCCTTAATAAATCCGCCAATGGGAAGCAGTTTTGCTTCTTCTGTCTCTTAGGGCACTAGACCAACCACTCACTGGGAAAACAAGTTTTGGTGCCAGAGCCTTCGGTGGGTTCCAAGGCTGCCTTTTCAGAGACAGGTACTTGAATGCTCCTGCTTTCCGCTCAGGGCTGGTTCTGGACCTACTCCACAAGTTTGGGGGGTGTGTCTAAGGGGGATCAGGTGACAGAGATTCACAGGTCACTGGACCAGAATGTACCCCCTTTGCTGGGTCACTTTTCTCTTCCCTGGTATCTGGATATTCTCAGCCACAGGTTACTTTCCCTTTCAACTTAATTTATTCAAGCTATTTTGAGAAGGTTGCTGGGAAGGGGAGGCCTTGTGAAATAGGAAAGCCGGTAAGGGGATAGGTGTCTGCTTTCTACCTCTAGGGGCCACACACAGGACTACGCTCCTCAAGCTTGCCCCCCCATCCACTGGTCTGCTCCTTGCCCTGGACCCTTCCCTTCTCTTCCCTCTGCCCTGGCAATCCTGTTCCTTCTCAGCTAGCCAGCCCACTGGGGAGCAGTCAGATAAAATTATGGCTGAGGAAACTGTATACTGCTTGAGAAATGGAAATAACACACACTAAACCACTTTGGAAGACTTTACAACATCTCAGTGCCAGAGACCTTCAGAGATGGAAGTGAGCGCTGACTGCCTTTGCTGTACTCACAGTGGAGCGAACCACGCCACTCCCTCCTGAGAAAAGATGAATTTTACGTGCAGGTGGCCGTGTTTTGTACCACATGACCTGATGCCCTGGCTATTGCTGACTGGACAAGGAAGGGCACCTGTGCCAAGGGCAGATTTATAGGCTCTGTCAGCCCAACAAGCTGGGCTGGGGCTAGAGCTTCGTGTAATAGGGCTGGTGACGACCAGTTGGACTAATTGCATTTTCTCTCTCTGGAGTTTCCACCTGAGACCTATTAGGGGAAGTTAGCTGGAACCAGAAGTGGAAAGATAAGCAGGGAAGCTTGGGGGGACACGGGAGCTGACGGTGGAGAGGGCTCAGTGGACTCCTGGTGCTCAGAGGTGAGGCGGTGGGAGAGTGTTGAACCCTCATCAACCCTCTGGTTTCCACCCTGGGTGCCGGTCTCAGGATGCCCAGCCCAGACCCCTGGATGTCTGTCTCCTGCATTTCCATATGCACTCTCGGAAGAAGCCCCCTTTACAAGACAACCTCAGTGCATCTCTGTTATTTACCACCCGCAGGATCTAATAAAGGATTCACCCGGCCTGGTTTACAGATGAGGGAGTGGAGGCGAGGAGACCATGGCTAGCTCCCCAGGTTACGGAATCAGAACTTGAGTCCACGAAGGAATCCAGGCTCCTTACCTGGAAAGCCTGCTCTCAGAGGATGGGGTTTCAGGACAGAGGTTTTTGTGGGAGGAGTGGGTTTCCAGTTAGAGTGAAGAGCAGGAGAGATGCTGAGTTCCGTTGTTCGGACTTTGTGTCACATCGTTATAATTAAAAAGCGGTTTGTAAACAGTAACAGCTGAGTTCTAAATTGCCCCAGGGTCTGGGTCGTGCCCTCTCCATGGCTGCTCCTCAGGAAGTTTCTGGGAGCAGATGCAGCAGCTCTGCTGCTCTTGTCCACCTCGCTTATTTCACCAACCTTCCCTAGGCCGTGTCCACAGGGAAAAGGGTTTAGGAATGAAATGAGTAGAAATCCACCCCCAAGGGCAGACTTACTCAGCTGTCCTTTGTTCTAAAGGCAACTTAGTCCCAGGTTTGGGACTAATGTCTAAACTCCATGGAGACCTTGTTGTCCGTACCCTGACATTTAATGGAAAGAGGGCTTACAGGGAGCTCTCTTTATCCCATGAGAAATGCCGGCAAGAAAGGTCGTATTTGGAGAGGCTGTGGACCTAAGGAAAGAACCTTCAGGGCCAAGCTTTGTACTGGACGGAATAACTCTTGAAACAAGGTTTGTAGCTCACACTGTGCCTCCTCACAGGCCCATGGGTACAGTACGGATTGCAACTGTGGGAGCTGGTGTGATGGGACTCTCCACTGCCGTGTGCATTTCCAAACTAGTCCCACGATGCTCCATCACAGTCATTTCAGAGCAGTTCACTCCCGAGACCACGAGTGATGTGGCAGCCGGAATGCTTATTCCTCCTGTTTATCCAGGTGAGAAAGAGATTTCTGCTCCTCTGTCAGATATGATGGACGTTAGATAGAATGACGTTGGTGGAATTCTGTTGAGAAAGACAGCTGGATGTTCACGTAAGTGTAATGTGCACTTTTGACATCTTGTTGGTTCATCTGTTAGGAAAGGCTCAGTTATGCAGCAAGACAGAAAGAACCTTCAAATCTTAGCAGCTTAAAAAGCAAAGGTTTATTTCTTGCTCATGCTGTATGTTGATTGAGCATCAGCAAGGGTTCTGTTCATCACTCAGGGGTCTAAGCTGATGAAGCAGCCAGAGCCTTGAATGTGGTCAGTACCTGTAGGTGGGGATTGAGAGCCCTGAGGGGTCTTGCCTTAGCAATTAAAGGTTCATGGTCAGGAAGCAACATTCATCACTTCTGGTGACAGCTCATTGGCTAGTGCTAGTCACATGCTCCCACCCTTCAGAAGGAGGCCAGGAAGTGCAATTCTATAAGGCTCCCAGAAGGTAGACAGCCAGAGTATTTGGTAAACAGCACCAATGGCTACCACAGTTGGTAACTGGTAACTCGAAGTCTTTCTACTGATACCAGTAGTGACCATCAAGTCAGAAAATACTTGTAATGGGACTAACATTATCCTCACTTCTAAGCCAGTTTAAAAACAATCAGTCAATATGTATTCAGGACTAAAAATGCATTGATTTTTTTTTAAATTAATTAATTAGTTTATTTATTTATTTTTGGCTGCGTTGGGTCTTCGTTGCTGTGCGTGGGCTTTCTCTAGTTGCCACCAGCGGGGGCTACTCTTCGTTGCATTGTGCAGGCTTCTCATTGCGGTGGCTTCTCTTGTTGCAGAGCACGGGCTCCAGGTGCCCAGGCTTCAGTAATTGTAGCACGTGGGCTCAGTAGTTGTGGGTCGAGGGCTCTAGAGTGCAGGCTCAGTAGTTGTGGCACATGGGCTCAGTAGTTGTGGGTCGAGGGTTCTAGAGTGCAGTCTCAGTAGTTGTGGTGCACGGGCTTAGTTGCTCCGTGGCATGTGGGATCTTCCCAGACCAGGGCTTGAACCTGTGTCCCCTGCGTTGGCAGGCGGATTCTTAACCACTGCACCACCAGGGAAGTCCCAATGCATTGATTTTTAAAAACACTTTCATGCGTCCTTTCCATTCTGTATTCGTCATACGAAATGGGAAGAGGAGGAAATAGCATTAAATAGGAAACAAAATCACTTTGCAGCTAATGAAGTTTATACTCAGTGTCTTCACTTCCTCATTTCCACTCTCCTTTCTCCCCTTTAATTTTAGTTTTTATTTTTGTATCAAAGTTATACATGGACATAGTTTAAGCAGTCAAATGATTATGTTATTACAAAAAAACAGCAATCTGGACTTTGAAAATTGCCCTATTTAATCTGGAAACTCATGTCTCCAGTTCAAGATACAATCTCTGAGTTACCCAACTGCCGATTCCTCCCTCCTGCCGTCTCTGCCTTTCTGTCCAGAATTGCTGTTTTGCTGGGCTTCCTGGACGAGTCCTCCCATTGGCTCATTTTTTTCCCCTTCCTATTTCTATCTTTTTCTCTTTCTATTTTACTTTCTGGGAGATTTTCTCAATTTTTTCTTTTTGCCTTGCTGTTGGATTTATTATTTCTACCGTAGCATTTTTAATATTCCAAAGATCATTTTTATTCTCTGAATTTCCCTTTGTTATACTATTTGTGTTCTGTGGCTGCAATGTCTTATCTTTCTGAAGACACTAGTAATAGTTTTAAAAGTTTTTCCTCCCTGCATAGCTTCTGTTGTCTCCAAGTTGTGTTTTTTTATTTGATGTGCTCGTTTTTCATGTTACAGGTTTTCCTTGGCCATGTGGTCTGGCCATCTTTACCTGTCTGTTGACCTTTAAGAACAGGATCCTAAACAGCTGATGGGAGTTTCTGGGTCCTTGCGTAGGGCTCGTTGCCTTGAGGCTCACTGGAGTGAGATGGGAGTGCTGTTTGGTTGGAGAACCTCTGATGTCATTATATTTAAGTCTTTCTTCTTGGGCAAGTCATGTTTCCCAGAGAAGAGGCTTCCAGTCCCCTGGCTAGGGTGGGTGAAGGCCTGGCTGGCAGCATTCTAGAAGGAGAGGGAGAAGAGGTCTGAGGTCTTAGCATGTGGTTTGCACATGTTTCCTTAACACTCTTGTTTTCACTAGGGTATTCCTGCCTTTGCCTGCACTTGGTGTTTTCCTAGTCCAGAGACACCCCCTGCTTCACCTAACAGAGGATAAACCCATTTTCTGCCAGAGTGGGAAGGGCAGTCGCCTCACTATTGCAATCCAGGAAACTGGCTTTGTCAGCACCCGTGATGCTAGTGTACCTCTTGGGAGCTGCCTTGCAGGAAACAAGCACAGGAGCCTGGTGTGTTTGCAGAATGCTAGTTCACACTGGACACCTTTCTTGTGACCAGAGTCCTTGTGTCCATCTCCCAGGCATCCCCTTGTATGCATCAGGCCCAGGTGAATGGTGAGAAGGCTGCCTGATAGTCATGGAATCATCTTCAAATAAGGAGACTCACCTGAGAGTTCATTCAGGCCCCTGAGGCCCAGCTCACCCTTTGGCTGGGTGATTGGGGCCCCTGGATCAGGGTCTTTCTCTCTGGTGCTGCTAGATAGACTTTGGTTTTCTCTCTGGGCTTCTTTCAGACCAGCCCCAGTGATGAAAATCTTCTGTGCCCATAAATGTCAATACCATATGGGGACTATACTATCCCATAGGTTTGTTGTGAGGATTAAATGAGTTAATACATGTAAAGCACTTAGAACAGTGCCTGGACGTAGTAAGTGCTATGTCAGCACTTGCTATTGTTATTACCGCTAATCTGGCTGCAGTTTTCTTTTACCAGCACTTGAACGTGAATTAGGTCCCAGGCTTGCTTTACCCACTGTTGAACTGGAATTGTCTATTCTTTTGGGGTGACTTTTGCAGTATGTGAATAGCAGTCGCTATTTTGTTTTTTAAGGTTTGGAGTGGGAACGGGGGTGTGCATTTCAATACAGCCTCGTACACTGTCTTAGATTGTTGGGGTATAATCCATATGAGGTCTAATTTAGTTCTTTGCAGTTTATTATTTATTTCCTCCTTATTTGTAAACCAGTAGACCCAGTCTGCAACTTGGGGAGTGTTGAGTTCACACGGGCATATGTTTAAAGACAACAGCACAGATCCACTACTAAAGAAATATTTACTGGCTCCTGAGCAAGTGAATTGCTTTAAAACCTGCTACTGAAATGCCCCCATTCACCTGGAAGCAGGATGCCTCCAGGGGCTTTTCGTCTCTACCGTGAGCTCTAGGGACATCTCTCCAAGCAAAGCTGACCCAGTATCCTCTCTGCTCAGTTCCCCCATCTCCTCTGTGTCTCCCCCTATAGCAGCCCCTCAGGATTACTGTTCCCCAGTCCCTGGCCTGACCCTGGACTCTTTCTCATGACCTTCCCACAGGGATCAGATGGCCAAATACTTCATCCACAGTTGGATTTGTCAGTGCTTCTGTGTCATGCTTGCTCTCTGTGCCTACACTGGACACTATTATTTTGGGGCTTGAACCCTGACCCGTATTTTCTCCCTGGCAGGCCTGGAACCCTTCCAGAGCTATGTCCAGATCCAATCTCCTGTACACAGGCAGGGATGCCTGGGAGATAGGGGGCACTGTTCCACAGGACTCTGACAGAGAGGTGTGGTCCCGGCACACCCCTGGTGACCCCAGGAATGCTACTCCAAGCTGGTCTATGATTCCATGGAATGGAGGGGAATGGAGGTAATGGCAGCCGTGGATGGGGCTGTAGGGAGCTCAGTTCCACAATGCAGGCCTTGTTTCCTTGTATCAGAAGGGTGAGGAACCTTGGCTTCCCACTGACGTTCAGTCTGTTCTTCGACCTGGTTGATCTGGGCCCCACAGATCTCCCCTTATCTCCTGCCATGTTTTCAGCCCTCAGGAAAGAGGCCCTGGGTTCTTTCTCCTATCATCTCGACTGTGTGGCCAGCTGGATGCCTCAGCCAGATTGGCTAACTTGACTCAGATTGGTTATGGACCTTTCAAGGACCTCTGAAATATGCCTAGTGCCAAAGGCCAATACGCCCTTTCCAGCTGGCCCATATGTTAGATTTTTCCCTCATCGGTTGATTTCCCCTCTGTTGATTAATAATTATATGAACCGACCCTGACAGCAAGTGTCAACATTCAAAACTCTGGTGGCTGACTGATCCTCCGCCACAATGCGGTACTTTATCTAAATGTTCCTCCCTGCCTCTTTAGTTTTTCCCAGTTCGTAGGAAGGAGCTTCTCTGAAGATAGTCATTGTCATTATTTTCCTTTCTGTTCTGCTTTGCTTTTCTCCACCATCACAGACACACCCATTCACAAGCAGAAGCAGTGGTTTAAAGAGACTTTTGATCACCTGTTTGCAATTGCCAATTCTGCAGAAGCTGAAGATGCTGGTGTTCTCCTGGTGTCTGGGTAAGAGAGGAAATCTGAAGTTATTTTAGAATTTAGAGTGATCTTAACAGACTTTAGAGTTCAACAGAAAATATCACTGAGTACCTGCTATGAGCAGAGTGCTGAACTAGATGTAGGAGGATTTAGAAGAACATTTTAGGCTTTACTCCAAAGAACTCAAGAAAGACAAGTTATAGCATTAGACTTTTAAACAATAAACAACCATTATAGTTTCTCATCACAAATGCTATTTTGAGTTTCCTCAGGGAATATGCAGTGATTTACAAATATGGCTAAAAATATATATAGCAGGTAAACACTGAGTTTGGGTTATATGGGGCTGATGGGGGGGGGCTGATGGAAAGCAAACAGGTGTGATTGATATGGGAATGGGTGCAGAGGCCCAAGGCACAGGCACATCTTTCTTATTTGGTGTCCATGGAGAATGAAGTGTTCCAAAAAAGCAACTATTATAGGTCACTAAAGTTACCTTTTAAAGTGCCATTTGGGAAAAAATATTTCTGAAATGGTTAGCAAGCTTCATTTGATTTTTCACATCCAATTTCCGAAGAAATGCAAAATTAAATAAAAGAGTTTAGAATATTAAACATTTCTAACAGAAACTGGCACTTAAAATATGACAATACCTTTCTATATCTTCTCAAACAGAAATCACTAACCATACTGTCACTTTTAAGTTACGACATAACACATACATTGTCTGTGTTATTCTATGTGATAACACAACTATGCCCTACAGCCTTCTGAAGAACAGAGGGATGTCTGCCTTTTACTAAGTTCTCAAAACCACTGCATCTTTTGTGCTGTTTAAAAAAAAAAATGTCCTGTCTCCTCTTTTGAGTTCAGGCTGTCTGCTGACATTTTCTGCTGGTGAACATACCTGCATCAGGCAGATTTCTACTCTCTTCCGCTTCTTGCTCTCCCTCACCATCACAAACACCAAACGCTATTGATATCACTAATTTCTCAAAGTCCCTACCCAAAGGAGCAGCTTTACTTCTCTACCTTCTGAAGATGGATTGAAACTGTAACTCTCTCCAGAGCCAGTTGATAAGCCACATAGAAACATCGTTGTCATTGATTTATGGTCACACTTTGTTTTTGTCCAAACCCAGCACGACCCAGTCTAATTCACAAACATCAGCTCTCAGTAATTTTTGGAAACAGTTGTGTCCAAAATTCAAATGTCCTTTCAAGAGCAAGACTTTGCCACTATTGAGGATATTAAAAGGAATGTACTTTAAGCCATTCTAAAACAGAGTTATTTGTTTTCCTCATATGAATGATTTTTATCCCACTTGCTTCCAAAAAGCATTTGAATCAGTCAAGTGAAGATAAGGGCACAAATGTCCTATGCACCTTGGCATAAGTATAAACTTTATTCATCTACTTATTCCTTCAAAACAATTTACTCAGCATTCACCAGTATCAGGTACTCTTCTAGGAATTAGGGAAATAGAAATGAGCAACTTAGTACATATTGCTTGGCATATAGTAGATGCTCAATAAATATGTGTTGAGTGACTTTTTAGGAAAGACAGACATGGTCCTGCCCTCATGTAGCTTATGTTCTGTAGGGAATGTCCTAAATCTAATGAGTTACGTATGAGACATGAGTCACCAAGGGAAGAGTACAGGGTGCTATGGAAGCATTTATCTGGAGAATAAACTTGTTCTGGTAAGTTATGAGAAGCCACTCAGAAAAAAAGTGATGTTTCAGTGGAGACCATCCACATGAGTGTAGGTTAGTCTGCTGACCCTGTAGAGGTGAAGGGGACAGAGATAGGGTCTAGGGCAGAGGAGGCAGCATTCAGGTAGAAGCAATAGTACATGCATAGACCTGAATCTAGGGTGACTCTGGTGTGTTGGAGGGACTGAAAAACGCCTAAGGTAATGGAAATCCATTGAGGGATTTACACAGTGAAGTAACTGATCATATTTGCATTTCAAAAACATTCTGTCTGCAGTGTGGAGAACAGATTTGTGGAAAGAGAGATGATGGTGGGATAGATTAGGTGTTGATAGTGGGCATAGAGAACAGATGGATTTGAGAAATGCTTATGAGGAGATTAGATGGGACTTGATAATTGATGGCATGTAGCGGGTGAGAGTGGAGAGAAGGTCAAGGATGATTCTCTGGTTTCTGGAGTTAGCACCTGGGTGGATGGGGAAAGGGGGAGGGAAAGAGCAGTGGGCATGGGGTAAATGTCTGAGACATGGGGGTAGACTTCTCCAGTAGAGAGTAGGCAACATGGGTCTGGATCTGGTTTTGGAGCTCAGGAGAGAGAAGAGGAGATAGAGTCTTCTGAGTGTTTGGCCTATAGTATGATGTTGAAGACAGGGAAGAGGACAATCTAGCCCAGGGAGAGTGTGCAGCATGAGACAGCAAGAGGGCCTGTTGTAGAGACCTGCAGCAAACAACATTTATACCTTCCACAGGAACCGTATAGAATGAATTACTTAGAGATATAAATTCCAGTACATTAATTACCATAGCATTAGCAACCATGTATAGCACTCAAATGACTTCCCTTGCTACTTTAGAGCAGGCATGCTTTGCAACATTTATTCCTATTGATGTAAAGAGCCCGATACTTATAAATCCAAACATGTGCCTAGCAGCTATTGATAGCAAAGTTATAAGCTTCTTGTTAACAACTAATATCTTTCTAGCCTCATCAGCCCCAGCCATGACTGAACGATAACAGGGCTTGTCCTGACAACTCCTGGCTTCTCTTATCAAGAATGTAACGTGATGATCTACAACTTAATTCATAATTCACAGCCCTGTCTCCTGCACCACCACCGTTGCTTCTTCTAACTTAGATATTTTGTTCAGAATTGAGGCCAACCGTTAAACTTTTGATGGTTTACTTACACTTTATGTAAAGCATTATGCAAAACAGAAAAATCTTTCCTCAAAAATGCATCATCATAAGTAAATAAAGAAAATCTGGGCAAGAGCTTTTTAGAAAAAGAGAGTTAAATTCAATCTTTAAAAGGCACACAACTTTTTAAATGTCTTATTCCAATGCCGCACCCCCCACCCCCGCCATGAACATTTTAAATTTAGCTACTGAGTTATCTGAACCTGAGAGAATTGAACAATAATTTCTTTCTCTGTATGGGTATAAGAAGTGTGTTTTAAAAATGCTTTAGAGAATGTAACATGGAGTTCACTAGAAATTTCATAGAACTTCAGGAAATTTTTCCACTTTATGTTTTTCAGTTGGCAGATATTTCGGAGCATTCCTACTGAGGAAGTGCCATTCTGGGCTGATGTGGTGCTGGGATTTCGAAAGATGACTGAGAATGAGCTGAAGAAATTCCCCCAACATGTGTTCGGTCAGGCTTTTACTACACTCAAATGTGAAGGCCCTGTCTACCTCCCGTGGTTGGAGAAAAGGTCAGTTGAAGTGGCTCTTTGCTGCTTTCTTTGTCTGTCACACCCATAAATAACTTCATAGCTTCTCTGTGGCTCCTCAGAGCTCTTGTGCACTGTGTCTTGCTGTTCATTAGTGGCTAGGGCTTTGTACAACATTCTGAAGACACTGTGCCACAAGGAGTGAGTCATACCCAAGTTAGTAACACGTCCATCTTCTGCTTCACTGTGCACCTTGATGCACGATTTGGTCCTTCTCTCCGCACCAGTAAGACCCCCTCGTTGAAACAGTATCTTACTTTGCTCATCCGTAAAGTGAGATGTTTGGAGAATATGCTTCCAGCTGTAAAATGATATGATTTACTCTAGTTCTTTCGAGAATCTTAGGCTTATTATAAGTTATTTTTGAATTTTTTTCTCATTAGTGAAAAAGAAAATAACCCCACTATTTTATTTTGTTATGAGCAAGAACTTTAAAAGTGAGGGCTTATCTAAATTAGGTAATTGCTTCCTTATCAAGTTCAGCCCCAAATTTCATGAACTTGCATTTTTGGCTTGGTTTTCAGGACTTTCTGTTTCCAGTTGGTTAGGAAACACATCAAGGGTATTTTTATTTAAGACACATCAATAAATCTCTCTTTAGTTTCATCTTGAAATTGCAAGCATGTTGAAGGTTGTGAAACTTTGGCCCTTTCAATCCCCAAGTCTGTATATTTGGTAGATGAATAGGAACAATGCAAATTATTGGGTAAATGTTGGAAAAGTGACTTCAGGTAAGCAGTGGCAGCAATGGCTTGGTCCCAGATGTAGGAGATAGGATAATTAATTGGAATAATTAATTAATTCCCTAATTCTTTGTTGAACTTCTATGTATACCTAGCACTGTGCTAGAAGCTAGTCAAAAATGAAGGATAAAATATGATCAATTTTCTTAAGGAATTCATAGTGTATTTGGGGATGATGGTGTATATATGTGTGTGCACATTGATATACATGTTAATTAACAATTACAGTAACACGTGATGAGGGTTAAATACAAATTTATGAAGGTGGATTGGGAGTGCAGAGGAAGGAACCTAAGTCTGTTAGGCACATGCTGGGAGCACCATGATATATTTTTGTAGCTTTATAAGTGCTCTTTTCACTTTTATCTCTTAGCAATTTATATGGGACTTTTTTCTTCTTAAAGTGCCAGTTTCATAAAACCTACACTTTTGTGCCTTGTCGCTGGCCCATAAACCCCTGTTCGTATGCCAAATTTAAACCACTGTATATCAGCTGATAAATGAACATTTGAGCCATCGTGTGATGGAGTTACCCATCAGCCAACATTCCAGTTTCAGGGCATCACCATCTTTTCTGAGTGGCAATGTTGTGTGGTGTTGCATTTTTGTCTTTATATTATAAAAATGCCTGGAAAAAGAACATTGGAATTGCTAATGCTATTGATATGTAGTTGGGGTATCATATATCTTAATAAAATTCAGATAAGGGGAAATTATTAGGCAAGCCATAAGTGGGAGAGCTCTGTTGTAAATATATACATATTTATTTTGGGCCACCCTCAGCCAGTTTCACACGAGAACATATATTACCTGAACAATGTGTTCAAGTATCACCTTCTAGAAAACAGGCCCCTTATTTCCATAATAACCTTATTTTCGAGCCTAATCTCTAATTGTGGGATGAAGGCCTGGGAAAAGTCTTGATTTTCTCTCATTAGTTGGAAGCCTGCTGTCAGCGTTTTACTTTACTTAAAATAACCCTGAGCGAGTGGTACTTTGTGCCAGTGGGAGCCACCTCCCGGGTGCAACACCATCGGGCCTGATGACCAGCCAGCTGGAGTCGTGCCTTGGAGCATGCTGTTTCCTGTCTGTTTTTAGGTGACAGAGTCAAGGAGAAGAGGTCTGAGGGGCTGCTTTTGTCCCCATAGAGTCCCGGGGAGGACTTTTTAGGTCCATTTGTTTGATATACGTGTCCACCATGACAGTGGGTGGGGACATGTGTGCCTCAGACAGACAGTACACACAGTACACACTGTTGCAGGGAAGCCACGAGGAGACCCCCTTCCTAGCTGTCCCACCCCCGCCCCACCTCCTGCTTTGGTACCCCCCTAGGTCCCTGATACTTCGTGCTTCCTCTTAACCCCCAGTGAGGGGCCTGCACAGACAGTATGCAGGGGCCTCCTCTCTGTAAGATTGGTCAGCCCCCCTTCCCTCAGGCCCTGGCACCTGACCAGAAGGCCAATGTGGGGGAGGAAGAGGGTCACCCGTTCCCTTTACTTCTGAGGAAGGCTTTGTAGGGCTGGGACTCCTTTAAGCCCAAGGCAACCCTCTCAGAGCAAGGACTTCAGGCCAGGTGGGAGGCCAGGCAGCATGGTGGTGAGAGCGTGGGACCCCTGGGGCTCCCTCTGTAGGCTGCCACCCACTTTCCACCTCGGATGACCCAGCTGGGGAGCCATACAATCCCTGCTTGTTCCTCACACCCAGGGTCTGTTATGTTGCCTCCTACGCCCCTTCTACACAGTGTGAGTGTTCAGCCTGCAGCGTTCTGACTCAAAAACAGGCATTTTCCTTAGCAAGCCGCATAACAATGCCTTCAATTTGAGCTCTATCCTTCTGAAATAATATTAATTTCCAGGAAAGAAAAAAAAAGTTTATAACCACAAAGTAGATCGTTAGCATTTTTCAAAGAACAGAAGGAATCATCCGCTTCTCAAAAAAAAAAAAATCCAATAATACCCAGAACAAACAAATAAACAAAACCCCCTGAGGGTTAATCAGCCATGCAGATCATGTTTTATATCTTTGGCCAGTGGAGTTATATTCTGCTGCTTTGTACTTGCCCTTCCAGGAAATGAATCACAGAGGCAATAAGTCAACTGAGCCTGTCTCTTCACCAGGCATCCTACCTAAATAAATCATCCCGGCTGGAGCAGGATGGTCCTGCCTTGGGAGACATTCAGAAAGCGGCGTGCCCCATTTCGGTGCTGGGGGCCCTGTAACGTTGGTGCGTTGCCTTCTTTCCAGCAGGCCACGCCTTATTCTGTGGCCCTGATAAGGGCCCTGCAATGAGCACAGCACTAACCACACTGAGCTTCTCTCCCTGCACTTTCCTTCCCACTCATCTAATGAGTCCTCCCTGTTACTTTCCCTGCAGGGTCCCAGACTCTTGTCTCCTATAGCTTCTGTTCTCCTACTTGGCCTGACTCACAGCAGTGCCTATGCCACTCCCTCGACAGTTGGACAGAAATATGGATTGTACATCAGGCATGTGACAGGTCATCCCTGCCTAACAAATGTCCAACTTGCAAAAAGGTCCCTTCCTGTGCACAGTAGACCCCTGCTCCCCCATGCCCAACACACCCCGTGCCCACCAGAGCACAGCCTTCCTTTTCCAGGCCCCTAGAGAGTTCCTCCTACTCCCAGCATTGGCCCCTGGCCCTTAACCAGAGGAGCCATGGGCAAAAGTTGGCCTTAGACACAGATCTAATATGAACTCCCCACTTTCTTCCTAGTTACACAAGGATGAGGCAGGAGGGCACCAGCCAGGAAAGTGGAAAATGATGGTGTTTATTTTTTTTTTCAATTTATTTATTTATTTATTTTTGGCTGTGTTGGGTCTTCGTTGCTGCGCCTGGGCTTTCTCTAGTTGCGGCGAGCGGGGGCTACTTTTCGTTGTGGTGTGCGGGCTTCTCATTGCGGTGGCTTCTCTTGCTGCAGAGCACGGGCTGTAGGCGCACAGTCTTCAGTAGTTGTGGCTCGCAGGCTCTAGAGCACAGGCTCAGTAGTTGTGATGCATGGGCTTAGCTGCTCCGCAGCATGTGGGATCTTCCTGGACCTGGGCTCGAACCCATGTTCCCTGCTTTGGCAGGCAGATTTTTAACCACTGCACCACCAGGGAAGTCCTATTTTTTCTGAGGATGGCAATGAGGTTAGTAGGGAATAGATGGAGGCTGGCTGTGGTGCAATGGCCTTGGGGGCTTCCACTGGGGCTCCAATTGCTGCCCTAAGGCAGTGGAAGAGGGGAACCCCACCTGCTGGACTGACTAAGGGTGCACGGCTGCTCCCCTCCGGACCACTCTGCCCATAGAAACCCCAGGCCTCATCCACACCTCCTCCCCAAAGGGAACAGAAGCTGCTCTGTGACTGAACAGGGCTTAGACCGATTAAAATAAGTTCGTGCAGTGGACAAGGCAGAGATGGATCTTCTGAGAAGTGGGAAATAGAATGCAGTTTATTTTATTAGAACATGCATTGCAGCAGAACGAGTGAGCAGTATGGTCATCAGATGAGGTTAAAATTATCAGGTTAAAAATTATATGGTGAGAGAGACAGAGAGAGACAGAGAGAGAGAGAGAGATTTAGTTGCTTTGTAAACCTAAAATGCATTTTAAAAATTCTAACTATGATATTTTAAGTATAGCTACATTAAGTGTCACTAGGAATAAACAGTGGATTTTCCCCCTGAATCTCTATGCATAGCATTATTTGCCAACTGAGATTTTCAGTTAGTTTTCTTCTTTTTCTCCTTTTCTTCAGACAAATGGACTAAAAATTGTTAATTTTCTGATTGCTGTTAATAAAGTACCCTGCTTCAGGTTTGAAGCAAGGATGCCAATGTGGTGCCACTCTCTAGCTTTTAGGGTTCTCTAGAGAAACAGGACCAATAGAAAAAAATATATATATAAAGAGACTTAATATAAGGAATTGGTCTACACAGTTATGGAGGCTGACATGTCCTAGGATCTGCACGGTGAGTTGGCAAGCTGGAGACCTAGGAGAGCCAAGGCTGTAATTCCAGTCTGAAGGCTGGCAAACTTCAGACCCAGGAAGAGCGAATGTTTTAGTCTGAGTCTGAAGACAGGAAAAAGCTGATATCCCAGTTTGAAGGCAGTCTGGCAGGAGGAAGGTCAGCCTTTTTGTTCTGTTCAGGCCTTCAACCAGTTGGATGAGACCCACGTGAAGGAGGGCAATCTACTTTACTCAGTCTACCAATTTATGTGTTCATTGCATTCAAAAATACCCTCACAGAAACCCCAGAAGAATGTTTGGCTAAATATCTGGGTACCCCATGGCCCAGTCAAGCCAAAACATAGAGTTAATCATCATATACCCAAACTAGGATTTCATATTGTCTTCAGTATTGGCCAACACTCATGTCAAGTCCACTAGGTATTGGGCATTGAGCTGGGTCATAGGTGTAGTGAGAAGCATAAGACGTAGTCTCTCCCCTTGAGAAATTTATAATTTATTGATATCAGTCCCCTAGAATTTGTTGTGCTCACATCTTGTGAAGCACTGTCATGCCTATTATTTCACTTGAATTTGAACTTCACAGCCATCTCTGAAACAGGCAAGGGAGGTGTCATCCCCATAACACAGATGAGGAAACTGAGGGCCAGAGACAAGAGGTGAATTGGTCAAGACCTCAAAGCTAAGCTAATGTGAGGCAACTGGGACCTAAACCCATGCTTTCCAATTGTACATCACCTCTCATTTGGAACTTGCTTCATTCTGCCAAGTATTTACACTCTGTCTCCCAACTCCTTTGTCAATCCTGAGGAAGGGCACTTTGCCTCTAAGCAGTACCTTGCACACAGGCATTCAACCTGCAGCCTGGTGTAGAGAGCCGCCAATAGTCTTTTTCTCATATTACGTCTCCTATATCCTACAAGTGACCTATGAATAAGATGATAGGACCTGGAGTTATTGTTTAATAGGTACATGGTTTCATTTTGCAAGGTGAAAAAGTTCTGGAGTTGGATGATGATGGTGGTTGCAAACAATGTGAATGTATTAAACTTAATGCCATTGAACTGTACACTTAAAAATGGTCAAAATGGTGAATTTTGTGTTATGCATATTTTACTACTATTAAAAAATAAGATTACAGAACTTGGATAAACCATTTCTTTTCATTCTTGATGTACTTGGTCCAAAAAATCATTAGCAACCACAACTGTTATTTAGTCCATCAGCTGCAAATATTTTGTGTTCCTCTTATGCTAGCATCCTTGTGGTAGACATAAGGAGGAGTGCATGTGAGCCCTGTCCCAACCATCTGGTTAGGGAGAACAGAGTAGTACACCGGAACATGCAAGAGTTAATTAACAACATGAGACAGAATGTCCAAGGCAGTAAATTTTTTTTTTTTTTTTTTTTTTTTTTTCGGTTCACGGGCCTCTCACTGTTGTGGCCTCTCCCGTTGCAGAGCACAGGCTCCGGACACGCAGGCTCGGCGGCCATGGCTCACGGGCCCAGCCGCTCCGCGGCACGTGGGATCCTCCCCGACCGGGGCACGAACCCGCGTCCCCTGCATCGGCAGGCGGACTCTCAACCACTGCGCCACCAGGGAAGCCCCCAAGGCAGTAAATTTAAGTGCTAAATAAATGGCATGAACAAAAAGTGCTTGGGGTTTTTAAAATACCAGGTTAACCTGGTATTTATTTAGCATCTAGAATGATTTAGGAACTCCATTAAACATAAAAAGGATGAAGCAGGTAGTTTGCTTTGAGTTTTTGAAATAGGTATTTATTTAGTTAGGTTCAACTTTAGGAATCCCTGGTTTCCAAGGATGTGAGGCAGTCAGCTAGAATTTGGCCTGCTTGGGCCCTGGAAGCTCTGGAGGTATTTGATCATTCGATGGTCTCCTCAGTTTTGTTTCTGAGTTCCTGTCCATCACTTCTGTAAGGGGTTGAGCAGGAAACTGCTATGGCTCACTTCATGGTCTCTCGTTCTCCCCAGGCTAAAAGGAAGTGGGGGTCTGATACTCACCCGAAGAATAGAAGACCTGTGGGAGCTTCACCCGTCCTTCGACATTGTGGTCAACTGTTCAGGCCTTGGAAGCAGGCAGCTTGCAGGAGACCCAAAGATTTTCCCAGTGAGGGGTCAAGTGCTCAAAGTGCAGGCTCCCTGGGTGAAGCATTTTATCCGAGATGGGAGTGGGCTGACATACATTTACCCAGGTATATCCAATGTAACCCTGGGTGGAACTAGGCAAAAAGGAGACTGGAATCTGTCCCCAGATGCAGAAATTAGCAAAGGGATTCTTTCCCGATGCTGTGCCCTCGAGCCCTCTCTCCATGGAGCCTGTGACATAAGGGAGAAGGTGGGCTTGAGGCCCACCAGGCCAGGTGTGCGGCTGGAGAAAGAGCTCTTAGCCCAGGGCAGCCGGAGGCTGCCTGTCGTCCATCACTACGGCCACGGTAGTGGGGGCATAGCCATGCACTGGGGCACTGCTCTGGAGGCCGCCAGGCTGGTGAGCGAGTGTGCCCAAGCCCTCAGGACCCCTGCTCCCAAATCAAAGCTGTAGGCATGAAGTGACAGCAAATGGCCCCAGAAACTATTAATCAAAATATAATTTAAGTACCAGAAGAGATTCAAATAACTTTTCCATTGAATGAAAGTTTAATTGGACATGGCTTTGCTTTCAAAATTAGAAATGATGCAATATGTATCAGTAGACTTAAGATTAGTACTAATCTAACTTAGTACTAGACTTAAGTCTAGTACTAATGACATAGGGCATAAAGCTCTATTTTTGTTAAAAAAAACTTGCTATAAAGTAAGATTTCTTTTAGATCTTGTGTCCAAGGATCTATGCCGATTCACATGGTTGCAGGGATTTTTTTGGCTCATAAATCCAGAGGAGGAGATAATGTATGGAAAACACTTAACTCACTGTTGGTTGCAGAGCTGCCCATGACGCTTATAGGTTGCAGTCAAGTGAACACCATAATCCTTTAAAATTACACAGTGATATACAATTCAGGCTTATTCCATTTAGTGGAAGACAAAGCATGATTCCTGCTAGTGCTAGTGGCAACCTCTACTTCCTCTCAGCTGGTACTGATGGTAGAACATAGGGATGATGTTGCCTACAGATGTGGCATTAACTCAATTGCGGTCTGGGGTCAATCACCTGAGGGGTGTACTTTCCACTACCACAAATGATTGAGAGCTGGTTTGTTGGATGGTTGACTTTGCCTGAGCATTTTTGAAGATTGAATAGTATGTGCAGCCAAAGGGCTAATTTGCTAATTAAAATGGAACAATCACTCTGAATAAAATATAAACAAAGAGTTTTCTGCAAGTCGTTAAAAGGGGAGGAGTGGAAATGTATCTCATGATAAAATGAGTTTGGGAATTGCTGAATTAATAAATCTAATCTGGATTCTTGACTTGGTCTTTAATCTGTTCATGTGTATTGTGAATTCTTTGGAGGGTTTTTGGCTGAGTGAATGGTAAAGGAGATGCTATTCATTGAGGTAAGGAAGCTTGGGAGAAATATATGTAATTATTTTTTTATGAGAATAGTCTGTTTTATTTGACATTTTCTAGGACTGGAGAATTTCTAAGTTTGAATATTTCTAATTTAAATATAGGCCTAAATAGTAGGCCTTAATAAGATGTAATGTGTATGGTGTTTATGTTATAGTTATCGGGACTTCCCTGGTGGTTCATTGGTTAAGACTCCACGCTTCCACTGCAGGGAGCACAGGTTCGATCCCTGGTTGGGGAACTAAGGTCCCCCATGCCTTGTGGTGTGGCCAAAAAAAAAAAAGTACCGCTGTCGTTGAAAAGGTGAATGAAAATAGATACATGACGGTCAAAAAAAAGAAATATGTGTAATTTTAATTTTTGGAGGATATGGCTTATGTTTAGTGATGATAAGTTCTATTTTAGACATCCTGGGGGGAGATGTGGAACTGGCAAAGAGAATGGGAAAGAGAAAGCCCCCAGCACAGGTCCATTCTTGCTGTTTTGTTCGTTGAGCTTTTGCATATGATTTTTTTTTTAACATCTTTATTGGAGTATAACTGCTTTACAATGGTGTGTTAGTTTCTGCTTTATAACAAAGTGAATCAGCTATACATATACATACATCCCCATATCTCCTCCCTCTTGCGTCTCCCTCCCACTGTCCCTATTGCATATGATTTTGTTTGCAGAGAATGTTGTGCTGGGAGAGAGAAAGATGGAAAGAGCGGGTGTGCATTGCCAGTGTACTAAAGGACCTTAATCATCCCTTGCAGTATTAAGGTTCCCAAGTTAAATCGCGTGGATTCTTTTCTATAGATTTCCACCAGGGGGTGGTGGTGTATCAAATTCAGATAAATTGGTACATTGGAAAATTTAGAAATGGTTAGAAATAAAAATTGGATACCAGGTGTGTGGAGTATGTGGGTGATTCTTTTGAGGTTTTGGAGTTTATATGCCCTAAATGCAATTGTTTTGAATTCTGTTTAAAGTATTTGAGAAATGTACAAGCTCAGATAGACTGAAAATACACACATCCATCCACACACTCACACATGCACTCACTACATATGACCAGTGAGAAATAATATGTTATGACAAATGGCATTTGGAAGAGGGGGAATACATCTTTTAATGGTTAAAAATGAAAATCTTCAGAATAGGTGTATTTCAGTCATTGTTACAGCAGTTTTAAGTGTACTCAGTTGTTCCTTATGCCCACAGTTTAGATCCTGCAGCATTTTCATTTCCTGTAGGTAGGTTCATACTCTATGACTATTGCCTATTTGCAATGGTCTAAGCAATTACTCTAGTTTAATTTAACTCTGCATTTTATACAAGACTGAAAGATTAGAGGTTTCTTGGGAAAGTGGTCACGGGGGCATGCCCTGATTTCATTTTTACTAATTGATAAATATTTGCTCCTTCTCTTAAAGGTTAATTCATTTCGATCAGTACCTGCCAACCTGGGTTGCACATTAAAGTCACCGGGGAAGTTTGAAAAACTAATCATTCCCAGCCCTGCTCTAGTAAATTAGCATTTGTTGGGGGTTGGGTGGGGCCCCGGCAACAGTATTTACTCATAACCCGCAGAGTTCTATCCAATAGCTGGGACTGAAGGTTATGAGCACTGTTTTACTCCTCTACTCACGGGGCTCTGCCACTTCTATAACCACTCGCCTCCCTTTCCTTCCTCACCATCTTGGGGCATTGAGCTAAGAGGGATGTTCTCACATATGCAGGTGTGTTCTTAGGCACTCCTGGGCAAGGTGGTAGGTAGGAATTAGCTGTCTCCCAAAGTGGCTCTCTAGAAATGCTGGGAACCACATTGTTGGCTGTAGGTCAGCTGCCTGTCTGAAAGATGAGAGGCTGAATATACAAATGGACAGTGGCCAGACTATATATAAAAGAACTCTGATCCATGGTCTGCAGCAACCTGCCTGGGAAACTAACCTCTTTCTTTACAGTAGCCAGCAGGGGAGCCAGTCTGCTATAGGTCAGATTTGTAAGAAGCTACATTGCTATCTCTAGTAACAATCCAGAAAGTTAAACAATCATTTCTGGAACAATTGGTTCCAAATGGCCAGTACTTGGTTAATAACTGCCAGCTGCCCCAATTCCTGTCCTGTTTCCAACTTAGGACCAACCAGAGAAAGCCAAATATGCACCCCTGACCAATCACACAGGATGCCCCACTTCTTAATAGCCTGCCAACAGCTTCCCCATGCCAAGAGCATCCATTCAGGGCACACCTGAAGTCTTCTCTTTTGTCACTATAAAGCTTTCCCACTCTTCTGCCTGCCTTGGAGTTACGGTGGCTGAACTCCCTTACTATAGCAAGCTCTGAATAAATAGTCATTGCTTTTCTCATTTGGCTGGTCTTTTTTTGGTTGTTGTTGTTTGTTTGTTTCCACAAAGATTTCCTGTTTTTGTAAGCTGAAGTCTTAGATCACTATGCTAAAGCCTGAGAATGGGCTCCCATCTTCTATGACAGATCATTTAAAAACTTTTTCATAACGTGGAGAACAACCGATTTCCTTCTTAAATCCCTGCTTTCAAGGGTCTGACATTTGTGGCTGAGCTAGGACCTGCTGCAGCCATGACCCAGTGGGACACAGCAGCTTTGCTGAACCTCTTCTTCAGCAGACAGAGGTTATGTAGACTTTTAGGATTTTATTTGCTTAGGAAGAAAAAGTTAAACAGAAAGGCCATAGCCCACTAGGACACGGTTGTACAGAAGAAAGGCTATTTTAAAAAATGATATAGATTCTTCCTTTTATTGAATACATGCATTCAACCCAATTGATATTTGAACTATCTTTTTTTTCCTCAATCCATTAAGAGCTTTTAGAGAAAAGGAAGAAAATGATGGTGGGAGCTGTGTCCTCTGGGAGTTGTAGTTCTGGGAAACCTGTTCCAGGACTCTCATAACTTGTCAGATATTTGAAATGAACGTAGCACTTAGAGTATTTTCTTCTTGATTCCTCTCATCTTTCTTCTTGAGGGTGTGAATGATGGAAACACATTTGAAACCTGTTTCCTCTGGGTATCATTCACTGAGGAAAAGCTGAGGGAGATGTTTAAGTGGTCTCTTTCTTCTTGAAAAATCTCTGCAGTTTGCCACCAGGCCTGGGGACTTTATTATCCTGAGTGACTTTGCTGCCTATAAATCACAGCCCTAAGTGGCTAAAGGGAATGAGTTAACCAAATGCCTGAAAAAATGTAACCAATGTTTCTTCAATTATTAGCAGAACAATTGACTTGCATCTGGTCAGGGCACCTGCAGACCTGGCCTGCAGTCGTGTTACCTATAATTCCACCACTCAGAGCCTAAATTTCCCTTGAATTACAGTTTTTACTCTGATGCATGTTCTGAGCTATCAGTCCAGCCCCCAATTTTTTATGCGTCCTAGTATTTCTCTTCCATACAAATCCAAGTGGTCTGGCAATGGAACTCAGCTATTGTAGTGAATACTCCAAATGGTTTGCCTGCTCTACCCCGGACCCCTTTTCTGGGAAATCTGCTCAAACCTGGGAGTTCACTATTTGGGCAGCATCCCCAGTACCCTGCCTCTCTGGTTATAGTTATTGGGTCAGAGGAAACTTTCAGCTAGGTTTAGGTTCAGTTATACGTAACAGAAACTCTCCCACATAGCTGCTTAAATAAGATGGGCATGCATTTCTCTCTTACTTGGTAGAAGCCTGGATTTAGGCAGTTCTGGGCTTGTGTGGGGACTTCATCAGTGATCCAGGCTCTTCCTGCTCATGTTCTGCTATCTCAAGGGTATGGTTCCAAGATGGCAGTTGGAGCTCCAGCCATCGCATCATTAATCCACCCCCAATGAAACTTTCCAGAAGACTCACACAATACTTTTGCTTATATCTTATTGCATAAGCCTACACTAGATTCAAATGAAGCTGGGGATGTAGTCTTTTGACTATGTGAACAATGTAAAAGTCAAGGTTTTAGCAGGCTCTGCTAAAAGTAAGTTGGGTTAAGCTAGTCAAATTCTTAAGAATTTGTACCAAAGGATTCTAAAACTGTTTCCTGGTAATGGCAGGCTCTGGAGGCATGTAGACTTGGGGCAACAGTGGAGGCTGTTCAGGTTTATGTAGAGGAAGCAAGGCAAGAGAGAGAAGGCAAAGAAAAGCAGAAAACGGAGAGAAGAAAGCCCAAGGGGATGTACTTTGGGGGAAGCATCAAGAATGACCCAGGTCCTGACCCAGTTCCACTCCTCATGCTGTCTGCCTGGACAGTCAATTCTGCATTCCTCAGAAACCTCATGTTTTTAAAAATTGCTTTTCAGAAATTATTGTGTTAAGAAGAGAAAGGGTATGGGAGCTGGAGAGTTTCAGATTCCCCCAAAAAGAAGTTATTTTTTCCTGGAGCTATTAATGATACATATTATAGCTATAAGAGTAAAATCTTAATATCATGGAGCAAATCCAGCATTTGCTGAATTCTATCTTTTACTTAAAAATCTTGTCCTTTCTTTTCCTAAACAGGGACATTTTATATATCCTTATATCCTTATCTCCTTTATAGTTGTTATCACCCTTTGTTAGGATAGACAAAGTCTAAACTACTCAAATAAATCTCTTGTGTTCTAACATTGGTGTTACCCTACCTCCTGAATACATTATCAGTCCCTGGTCAAGATCCTATTGTAATCAGTGGTATTCTTAGTAGTGCATATTTTGGCCTTTAATTAGGATAATTGAATTATGGCCAATTTGTATGACTGTAGGAGTAATATCTGTATTTCATTTCCTGTCTCTGGATTCTATGGGGAAATATTTTACCATAATCCCCTTTTCTCCTTGAGCCCATTAAGTAGACCCTCTCCTTTCAACCAAAAACTTTTGTCTAAGTCTGCTTATAAAAAATGAGTGGATCCCTGGGATACAAAAACAGATTTCAGCTATCCACTTAGACCAGGGGCAGCAAATTGCTTCTGTAAAGGGTCCAATGGTAGGGTCCAATGGTAAATATTTTAGGCTTCGCTGGCCATGCAGTCTATGTTGCAACTTATCTCCTCA